GAAAGCTAAACAAAAATTGTACTGAGTCTGCAGACAATAGGAATAACAAATTTTACTGGTGAATCTGTGGAGTCAAAGCAGGCTGAACACAGGATGTGGACTTACCTTCAGAAGTGGGAGAGCAAACTCCAAAGTGGACACCAGGGAAGGAGAGCATAGAACTGAAGGCAAAAACTATAGCCTTAAAATGGGGTCTTCATACACTACTGGCCAGGGGAGAGTGAGGACTTCAAGTCACAGGGAAGCTTGCCGGAAGCCAGGGAAACCAGAGGAGTGTAAAAATGAGTTCATCAAATGCAACAAATAAATCCCTTTTGTGAAGGTGAGTTTCACTGAAAAGGCTCTGCAATTTTTCCTACTTTTTAAAAAAGAGCTGAAGATATTCCTTGCAGCTCAGTTGAGGCAATCTAAGAGAACCAAGTCCTCAAAGTGAGATTCTAAATTATGTATTGATATCCTTTACTACTGTGCTGTTTTTGATCACTATCTGTCAATTCCTTCTAAGATTGTTATAGAAAACTGACAGAAAAGGGGGTTGAGCTGAAGGAATTGAGCTGAAAGAAACTTCACTTCTTTTATTCAATTAACCATTTAAATAAATTATTTGTTCTCTTTCTTGGGAAGAGTATTATAAGGATTCTTCTCCCCTGAGAATGTCAGACGTGGGCTTTTGGTAAAGGGCAGTCAGGTTTGCTGCCAGGCAGTAGGAGAGATGTGATTGAGACACCATTGTCTAGCAGTCTAGCATGGGGGCCCATTCTTCCTCAACCGTGGACTAGGTGTGTTCTCTAAAAGTTGCTGCTTATAGACTTAACTAATTTCAAAAATAATCTTTATGATGCTTTTCACTTGTGTCACTTCCCTCAGTCATTTAAATTTTTTAGAATCTCTTTTTTTACACAATAGAATAGTCCATATGTAGCTATGTTAAATCATCTTTTACATGAACCTGGGAATCTGGCTATTTAAAGAAATCTTCTAACAAAGCATTCTATAAGACAGATATTACTCTCCAATTTGCCTGCTTTTGAAATGTACCTGCTTTTAAAATTTGCCCTTTTATCTAGGCAGTTTGCATAAGGCGGGCTGACCTTATATTCTAATAGAACTGTTGCCCTCCCATGCTCTTGGCTTACTTTTGAAGTCAGTGATCGTAGCTGTTTCACTGAATGATACAGAAAGAAAGGTAGTGAGTGCACAGTGGGTGACAGAGCCATTTGACTTTCAAGGTACAAACCCAATAGCATCCAACCAGTGACTCAGCCTCTTCTGGAAAAGATAACATGTACTGTCTTCATCCACAGCCACTTTCACTGTACCTCGGGAACCACCGCCACCTCCAGCAGAGGTGAAGTTCTTTCCCAAGAAACACAGTTCAAAGGTATTCATATTCCTCACTACAGAAAGAAAATTGTTCTTATTTACAACATTTTCGGTGAGATTTTTGGTGATTTACATATGTTATTGAGTTGTACCTTCAACCTAGAAATAAGTGCTATTTCAGCTGTTGCTGGTATGCATTTGACTTTCAAAAGGGGAATTGTACAAGTCAACTCTAGCATAATGTTATTGGTGGAGTCTAAAAAATTCAATCATGTTGCATCATTGCAAGATTAACTAAATGACTGGGTCAACTTCTGATACTAACTGGTCAGGAGTCCAGTAGCTATTGCTTTGTATCCAAATTTGTGTGGTATAGGATGTCTTATTGTGAGGTTCTACTGTATTTCATTTGTCTTTAAATACAGTTTAAAAAGGCAAGATCTTCAAATATAGAATACCTTAATGAAGCAGGGGAAAGAATTCTGCATTATTATTATTATTATTATTATTTCGAGACAGAGTCTCACTCTGTTGCCCAGGCTGGAGTGCAGTCGCACAATGTCGACTCACTGCAACTTCTGCCTCCTGGGTTCAAGTGATTCTCATGTCTCAGACTCCCAGGAAGCTGGGATTACAGGTGCCTACCATCATGCCCGGCAAATTTTTATATTTTTAGTGGAGACGGGGGGTTTCACCATTTTGGCCAGGCTGGTCTCAAACTCCTGACCTCAAGTCACCCATCTGCCTCGGCCTCCCAAAGTGCTGGGATTATAGGCATGAGCCACCACGCCTGGCCTTTTTTTTGTTTGTTTGTTTGTTTTTTTAATCATCATGTGGCACTTCCTTTTCTTTTTCTTTTTCTTTTTTTTTTTTGAGATGGAGTCTTGCTCTGTCACCCAGGCTGGCGCAATCTCAGCTCACTGCAACCTCTGGCTTCCAGATTCAAGCGATTCTCATGCCTCAGCACCCCTAGTAGCTGGGATTACAGGCATGTACCACCACTCCCGGCTAATTTTTTGTATTTTTAGTGAAGACAGGGTTTCTCTATGTTGGCCAGGCTAGTCTCGAACTCCTGGCCTCAAGTGGTCCACCTGCCTTGGCCTCCCAAAATGCTGGGTTTGTGGGCATGAGCCACCACACTGGGCCAAATTCTGTATTCTTTAACATTAACTCCTCACAGTACAATCTAATTCATTCTTATGGAGAGTCCCCCAGTTTCAATGTGCTGGACTTTTGTACCTTGCTTTCTTATGTTTATGGGCTGCAGATAGACTTGTGATTTTTGAAACTTTTCACCACAGAAAGGAGACAGCTGGCGCTGTCTTTTTCTGGCTTACCTTATGTGGAAAGTGGTCATGTTTTCAGCTGCTCTCATAAGAAAAAAGGAGAAATTGAAGAGTGGCACAAGAGAAATTAATCCTAGACTGCTACCTGCTCTTCCCAGACTTTCATCTTTCAATACTGAAATCATCAAGAGGTTTCACTGTATTTTCAGCACTGGTGGGCTGTGTCCCCTTAAGAGATTTCCAGGCTATTTATGTAGCAGCATGTCATGTGACACCCCAGTTGCCATGGCAAATATTTGTGTTTCATGAAAAATGTGAGTAAAGAAAATCAATGTAAATGGCCAAATCCCAAGACAGACAGGCCTTCAGGCGAGTGTTTGGCCTGCACCATTATTGTTTCAAATTCAGCTGTTTAACAGGCTGTGAGAAGGCCATGGGCTAATGTGCATAATAGGAACAGGCGGAGGCACCTGTTTTGATTCTCACCCTGTTGGAGTGCTCAGGTCCCACAGTTTTATAGATAACAGATCTACAGGTAATACAAATATTATGACTAGGTTGTAGCCAGTAAATGGTTTACCTCGAAAAAATAGTTTTAAATAATGACATATTTTCTGAATGCTAATGAACCCTGGCTTTAATTTCCTCTATTGACTTCACAAAGCTCTCCCCGACTGCTGGAAACAGTAATATTTAATGACTTTTTCCTGTGGCCCGAGATTGGTACAGCATTTCTAAACTGACTCTTCAATGGTAAATGTAATTTTTCATATACTTTGTGGCAAGTGTCCTGGGCATGGAAGTTAAAAGGAAGAAGAAGGACTTCAGTGTGCCACGCCTCGTGATAGAGCCAGTACAGACCTTTGATCAGACTCCACCACAAAGCAGTGTGGTGCCACACTAGTGTCCCCTAGAAGTGGGGCTTGGCTTCTGATTATAGTTGTTTTTGTAAATATTTGCTTAGTCAAACTCTTCAAAGCAAACGGGGCTTGGCAAACAGAGTATTGTTGTCAGTGTGGGAAAGGTCTTTCTAATTATTAGCTCCTGCCTGCGTGGAAAGAGAGAACAGGCTGACCCAGCAGGGAAAGTGGGGAAAGGAGTGAGGCCCTGAGCCTTCTATTTGTTTTGTAAAATTGCCCATGAGAGTCGTTTTGATTTAAACTGTGTCTCGTTCTTCATTGTAGGGGAAAAGCAGAAGGCCAAGAGGACATCATGATAGGAAGGTCTGTAATTTGTGTGACTAGTTTTAATTTAGGGTCTGTCACCTGATGTCCCTTCCTTTTGCTGCAGGGCAAAAGTATGGGCGACTGCTTGACAGCTGGAGATGGCAACAAAAGTTCATGCTTCTTTTTTTTTTTTTTTTTTTTTCACCACCATATCAAATTTATTATTCCAATGGCACTAGTACAGCTGGAGGTGCTCATGGTGACACCGCACAGGACTTCCTGCCTGCTAGAAATCATCTACCCGCTTGTTCCTTTTTCCTTTCCGGGGCAAAAGCCACTACGGGCCATTTACCCAAATAAACCTCTTAATGCGTTTGTTAAAATTTGTTTGGACATCTGAGTTTCCCTCTGAAGAAATGGAAAAAGTGTTGGGTGTCCCATCCCACCTCCCCCTCCCTGACCAGCCCGGTAAAAGTCCCTGCTAAGAGGGCGTGTCTGCTGCCTCTGGACTCTGGAAATAAATATCGCTTCTTCTTTTATAAAAGAAATTAGATCATGGTTTCAGAGAAAAAAATTTTAAAAAAACATGGTTCATTTAAAGTGAAAACCCTTTTTTGCCTTCTTTTGGGACTGAATTACTTCTCAGGCTTCAGTCCAAATGACTTAGCATCCTTAAAATTTGGCTGAATCACATCAATCTTCAACCTCAATCACAGATTTTCATCTTTTAAAAGTACACTTAAAAAGAAATAAAATGTGAAAAGTAAATGCAGTTGTTCCCCAGCACGTGCTTGTATGTGTGCACGCATATAGGATGCACACACACATGCAGCATATTGCGTGTATGCTGTAGTACAGATGGGATTTAGAGTTAAGCTAATCCTAACAACTAAGGTAACAAAAATATTGGAAAAACGAAGTAGCCCCCACAATATGGCAAGTACATGCCAGCAAGGAACATTCCAGAAGGTCATGCATGGGTAATAAAAGTCCTGAACTTGAAGTAGGAATGCACTGGATTCTCCTTTGAGCAAGTCACTTTACTTCTCTGCTCTTCACTTTCCTCCTCTGACAAATGAGGACAATACCTCCCTTAACATAGGGTTGCTGCAAGGATCAGATGCGTTAATGTGTGTGAAAGTGTTTTGGAAAAGTACTTGTTATCATGACTCATTGGTCCATTATTAAGGGCATCTTCTAGGCCTCCCTTTCTTGGTGATCTTCTTATCAGTAAGAATTTCACGGGGATCTTAGCCATCTGCTTTCAAGGAAAAAGAGCCCGCCTTTGGGGTCACATTTTATTCCTGCAGAGCTGTGCCTAGATAGAGCTGTATTTACATCAATGATTATATACAGTCCCTCTGTACCTAGACAGATTGCTCCTTAGTAAACTAATCAGTGCAATTAGATCCTTCGTCTTGCTTCCTTTGACGTCTTACTGTGAGAAAAGTGTGAGCTTGATTCTGCAGGTTAAAAACAGGATGTGTTTACAAACACTAAGGCATTATTTATCTGGAATATTTGTAACTGCTAATGTTGACTGAGCATGTCCTGCATGCATGACACTAAGCATCTTTCATACCCAATGAACCCTCATAGCAGGCAGAACCTATGTGCTGCAGTTGTCCCCAGGCCCACTCAGTTGGCAAAAGGGTGCAAAGGATCCAGCTGACAGAGTGAAGCTCCAGAGTTTGTGCTCTCTGCACGTTCCAGGTTATGAATGCTTCCACATGGGTCGGTTTTTCAAATACTACTACTACTGCTCACAAATAGTGTTACTACGGCTGCCACTGCTGCTGCTACTGCTACTTGCAGCTAACATGTACTGAGTGCTTACTCTTTGCCGGGCTCTGTTCCTAATGTCTTAAGTGGATTATCTCACTTAGTGTTCACAGGATTTCTGTGCAGTAGGCACTATTATCATTCAATTAGTCATCCAATTAGTAAATGACAGAGCCAGCATACAACACTGGACTATGTAACTACCAGAGCCCCAAAGCATTGGGGAAATTTTTATAAATCTCAATCATTTTTTACAGAAACATATTACACTTAATACATTTCCAAAATATATTACATTTCTGCCTAACTAATATAATGTAATATTTTCTCTATTCAATATCATGTATACAGGTAATCAGTTTCTGTGTCCTTTACTGTTTCCTTCAATAACAGACAGCAGTGATCACCTTTGTTGCTGTGTCTGCTTTCATCAGCTCCGACTTTAACAGCCTTTTCTATCATATAGCTCAGTTAACCAAACCCAGTTTAAGAAGTTGGATAAGTTTAAGTCATTCAGGCTCTACACAGGATCCGAAGAATAAAATAAAAAACGATAGTAGAGTTTGTCATAGTTATTTTGATAAATCTGAGGCGTCTTTATTTTCAAGAATCTAGTTCAAAGGTTTGAGGTTGTTAAAATTTTCTTGTCAGCAAATAAATCTTTTTATTTAAGGCAAGCATAAAAATTATGTTAAGATTCACTTAATTTTAATTTATATTTTGATAATAAAAATCTATTTTATGGATAAAACAAGCAAACAAATATTTATTCTACTATAGGAGTACAGACCAAATTCATGAG